GTATCTATGTACGTATATATGTCCTCCTGTTTTTACAACTTTTATGGACTGTATCTGTTTTTATTGAATCATAATGTCATAAGTTGATGTTTTTCTGTGTAATTTGAACATCAGTCTTTTGTCAGACTGCTTTTTTGTATTAATTTTGTTTTTCTGTTGACTTGTGTAAACACGCTGGTGTACTTAACACAAATAAAGAATTGAAATTGAAAAAATTGAAATTGATAAGAAGCTTTAGAGGCGAATTTTTAATTTCAATATAAGGTAACTCTGTTTTGTCATAAATCGTGTTTAAGTATATTATGTCTCCTCTATCATGGGCACGGCCATCTGAAAATTTTGTTTTTCTTTATCAGGCTTTTGACCAGTTTCAGAAACATCATTTTGTGTCTCATCAGGGTTTTCGTAATACAGATCAGAACAGTCATACTGATTTTCACTATCCTGACAATATTCCGAGTAATAGTTATCGTAAGGGTTGTTTCCAAAATTTTCATCATAAGGATCACTCTCAACGAGTAGATGTCTTATGGGGATTCGGTCTCAAAACTTCCAAAATCCGCCACCAGAGGCGCTGGCGTCGCGCGCCATTGACAGGTTGTTGGACGGAATCTGTAATCATGAGTTGGGGATTCCGCCGCTAGATGGCGCTGTCAAACCAAACGGAATCTGTGTGTCATTGGACACCTGTCATGCGTCATTGGGCATCTCACGCATAGATGGCGTTAAAACGTCATCTGTCATACGTCATTGGACACCTGTCATTGATGGGTTGGGCATCTCGCGCATAGATGGCGCCGATTTGTTTGGCGCTGTACAAACCAAACGGAATCTATGTGTCATTGGACAGCTGCCATTGATGGGTTGGGCATCTCGCGCATAGATGGCGCCGATGCCGCACCTGTCTGGTGTTGGCGTGGATTACGGGGGGCATTCAGAACGTGTATACAGGGGTGCATCGAAAAATAGCGGATCGATGGACCGACGGTATATCGTTAAATCGTATATAGCAAGGCGTGACCTAAATAGCGTGGTGGGCTCCTCTGGTCGGTCGGTCGGTCAGAATGTCTCATAACCTGTATACGATGTACTGTTATTATTATACAGGATGATACCGTTCAAAATGAAAATAGTATAATGGATATTTTATTGAAACATATAGTATATATATAACAATAAGGTTGATTGGTGTGTGTGTGTGTGTGTGTGTGTGTGTATGAAATTTTCAGTTGCCTACAGTGTCGTCTGAATCAATATCGCTGTGTTCTGGTACGTCACGTCACGTGTCACGTCACGTGTCACGTTACGTGACGTATATCATAATGAAACGACATATGCATTTTTACAAAAACTTTATTAAAATCGTTCAAGATCATTAGCGATCCTATGTCTATAGAAAAATATATGTTGTCCTAACGCTATATGTTGTAAAGTACAGCCTACGAGCTTAAATGTATACAATTTTTGAATAGCATCTGAAAACGTATAATTTTGATCATTAAAACTAGCTCGAACAATCTTAAGCGCATTATAATAATAGCTTGGAAATTC